TTTAGTTTCCATCCATATTACTATTACTATATTACTATTTGTTGCCTTGCCTTCTGGTGCTTTGAAAAATAGCTGACCCCCTCTTCTTTGTGGCATCCCCTTAAATGTCTATTCATGTCTGAAGAATTGCCCTATCTTTCTAAATCATTAGTAACATAGTAGCATGGCTGTCAAAAATAGCATGCCTTCCACAGTTAAATGCCATCTTGTAACATTTAGAAGTCTTACCTTGTGATGTGACTGAAGTATGTACACCTCCCTTTCTGCTCCATATTATTGGTTACGTTTAGTGGTTCAGTTTAGTTATATATGAATGTCAATCATGAAATATTTCTGAACTGGCTTTGACCATAATTCTGCATCATTTTCTTGACTCCAGTTTGGTGATGGTGGAATTTAAATTTCATGTTCTAATCCAACAGTGCTTACTTTTTTACATTTAACCTTGTAATTAGAACTCAACTCCAAAGTTTAATGGAAATGACTCTTGATGCAAGTGTTCACCAAATATACAAATTACCGTATTTTTCGGAGTATAAAACGCACTGGAGTATAAGATGCACCTACCTTTTTTGGTTGTTGTTTTTTTTAAACTTTTTTTTATTTTATAGACAAACACACATACAAACATACAGTGTATTTTATTTGAACAGAGTATTTGGCTGGTTCACAAATTTAAACAGTTTTTAGGCATTTCAATTAAATTTACAATTTCTATATTTCCTTTTTGCCAATTTATTCCTCATCTATTTTTTAAAAAAAACCAATATTACCCTTCATTCTCATCTCTAATCTTAATCAAATTCAATTTTTCCCTTCTATTCTATATTATACCCCTTCCCATTGTCATCTATTTTTATATCCATCCTCACATTGGTTAATTATGTAATATTACAATTGTTTAATACAAATTCAACATTTTTATATAAATCAATTAATTATATAACTATCTTTTTTGTATATTAATCAATATGAACATGAATATTCCAATTATTTCCATGCAATCCAATTTCTTACAAATCAATTAATTATATTTACCAATAATAATAAACCAAATAATTTCCCCCATATATTCCTCCAAACCACAACTTAACAATTTCTGCTTTCAATATAATATACTATTAATAGTATCTCAATTATTACAATTCCCTAGTTAAATAGAGCTTTCCCCTTATGTTACTCATTTTCACATCTTAAACTCTCCCAATAACCCAAAGTTTTGCCCATATAGAAAAATATTCCAATTATTATTCATTTCATTTTTACAATCATGATTTCCCATTTATTTCTTACTACTATTCATATTTCAATTCTAAATATGTATAACATCTTTCTCTTTCATTTCTTTTTCTCCCTTCCCATTTTTATTTTTGCCTTTTTTCTTTTGTGTTTTAAAATCTTGAACTTTCCTCTTTTGCCCTAAATTTCCCATTGTTTGCATCTATCTTTTTTGGTGAGGAAAAAGAAAAAGAAATTTCCCTGTGCCTCATTTTGCCACGGTGCAGCAAACAGCCTGCTTTACTTTCAGTTTCATTTTTCAGCATAGCTTGATTAGCACAATGGGGAGAAAAAATCTGCTCCAGCACACTTTGCAGCAAGCAGCAGAGCCCTGCGCAAAGCAGCTGAGAGCAAATCAGCTGAGAGTCAGGAGGCCGATCTAATCAACTTGTGGTAATTAGCCGATGCTGAAGCTGAAAGGAGCTGTTTTTTCTTGCTGTTTGCTTGCAAGGAGGTAACTGCTAGGAGGCACAGGCCAAAGAGTGGGGGCCAGTGGGTGGGCAGGCTACATTCGGTGTATAAAATGCACCTAAATTTTCGTCCCCTTTTGGGGGGTAAAAAGGTGTGTCTTATACTCTGAAAAATACGGTAATATACTCTAATCTTGACTATCACAAATTCAGCATTCTGACACCACCAATGCATATTCTACTCAGAAGCAATTCATATATCATATTGGTATATCTTTCCAGGATAAATATTAAATTTATGAGGAACTTCTGTTTTGGATGGGTGCGGGTTAATTGTGGAATTGGCATACCTAATTCAAATTCATGTTCCCTTTTTCAGAAGGGCTCAAGAGTCTACTATTTTATATCACCCCAATAAAACAATCTGGCACCTTTCATTTCCCCAGGCCATCACCTATTCCTACATCTGCTTTGTACGCTAGTGTGGTTGTTCATTGTTTTGTCTCTGTGCTGCTTTCACTTTGACTTTCAATCTGTATTCCTTCTGGCTTTTCATTTCTGTTTCATAAAACCTAATGGTGCCTTGGCAGACAATTAAAGAATATATTCTCAGTGGCAATAGAGTTAGTCCATCAAAACTAGATTAATTTTCAGGCCTGAGAAAGCCCAGGAATGATAAGCGGGAAAAGAGGCACAGCTAATCCAAAGAACACAAACTCTAAAAAGCAAACTGCATTATTGGATAAGCATATTGCATTTGAGACCAATAGTTGAAACAGTACATGTGAACCTGAATAACAGAGGAACACGCATCTATTAAAAGTATGCAGATATGGAAATATAACTGATCAAAACCCTGTAAACTGCTATGTGTTAAAAGTGTCATTTTGAGGACGGATTAGCCATACCCACCAGGGGCATTCCAGTTTTTCTGCTGAACATAAACAATCTCTGGTTAAGTATAGGGAGCTACATACAGGATCACAGAGAAGTGGGCAGGTGTCAATTATGCATTTACATATTTCTTGCTCCTTCCTGCTTTTACAAATGCTAAACACCACTGGATGAATAACAGGTAGAGGTGCAGGTTTTGTTGTTTGTTGGTTTCTCTTCTGCAATGCTAATTTTAAAAGAAATCCATGGGCTAAAACAGACATATAACAACAGCTACCTTCCTTGTAGAACATTTTGATGGCTGCCAATTTTTGATAAGACTGAAGTGCTAAAACCTCATGCTGGTGCAGCACATTTCTTTATCTCTTTCACCTACAGCTCGCATCTGCATGAGGCAGTTAGTGGAATCTCTAGATTTCCTTTGTTATCACTAATTTGCTTTAATAATGGATTATCGTAGAGCTGTAGAAAGTTACCCACCAAAGCTCAATGAGTGACTGGGCCATTCCCCCCTTTTCTCAGACCAACCTACTTCATAAGGTTGTTGTGGAGGGGAAAAAAGTGTGCTATACATGCCTTAATCTCCGGAATGAAAGGCAAAGCATAAATCTAGAAACAACAAAAAAGCTAAGCTATCAACCACACATTCGAATGTTGCATGAACCCAAAACTAGAGTTGCTTTGATAGTGAGATGAGAGCCATATAAAGTAAATAAATAATGAAACCAAATCAATATATTTTATTCAATGTGGGAACACCCCCCCCAGCAACATACAAATTCATTCATTTATTCATTAAATTTATATGGCCACCTACTTGCTATAGTACCTACAGGCAATGAAAACATAGTATACAATTTAAAAAAAAAAACCCTTCTCCAAAAGTGCACTCTATCTTTTCATGCAGGAGCTTCTTGGCCCCTGGCATTTCAACTGCTTCAGTGGCAGCCTTTGTTTGCACAGAAAATAGCAATAGCACTTAGATTTATATACTGCTTCACAGTGCTTTACAGCCCTCTATAAACAGTTTACAGCGTCAGCATATTGTCCCCAACAATCTGGGTCCTCATTTTACCAACCTTGAAAGGATGGAAGGCTGAGTCAACCTTGAGCCAGTGAGGATCCAACCCATGGCAGTCAGCAGAATTAGCCTGCAGTACTGCATTCTAACCACTGTGCCACCACGGCTCAGTGGAGGTAAGTAAGACTTCACTGTGAAGTCCACTTGTCACCACAGTATTTTCTATAACTAACCTGCATTCCCATTTTACAGATTGGAGGTAGATCAATGAGAAGCTGACTGGCCTAAAGCAGTAATGGACCTAAAAATGACATTTTGGCCATGTGGACTTTAATGCCTTTACTAGCTATTTGTCTTTTTAGATCCTCTTCATTCCTCCTCCAACCTTTAATTAAGCGATTTGAAGATCCCGAAAGTGTATTTCTGTACACCTGGCTTAATAAAGAGTACAAATATAATAAAGATATGGCAGATAGCAGCCCAGTTCTGCAAATCATATTTCACAGCAGGCTTTGTGCTCATCTTGCTAATTTCAAGGTGTGCTAATTTCTGTTTGCAAAGCACAGAAAGCAGTCAAGCGGCAGTTGCTCTCAGTGATGGAAAAGGACAGGAATGAATGCAAAGGAATGAAACAGCACCTGTTACTACAATCCTAAACCAGGAAAGGTTGAACATGAGCAAAGTATTCCCACACAGGTTCAGTTCTGGAAAATGTTCTGGGTTGAATGAAGACTTAAAGTGTGGTTTTAGGCAGATGCCTTGTTCGCTAGTGACCGAAAACTACACGGAGCAAACATTCTAGTATGCGATTGGGCTTTGTGCATCCACATTCCAGCAGGTTCCTCATCTCTTGGTTTAAAAAAAAAAATAAATCTGATGCTGTTACAGGTGCTTCTCCAACTGCAGGACCGCCCTTCGCGTACGCACAAGGACAACCGAAGATTGGAAAAGATCACCGCGCAAGGTGTAAGCAAACCAACTTCGGCACCACAGATCGGCCCTTCGGGCGGGGAGCATCTCCTCCACGACCCTTGCTAGGGGGCGATCGTCCCGGGGACAAGCGCGCAACCGGAGAGCCGCGTCCTATTTGGAAATTCCTCGCTTTCAACGGCAACGATCGCCCGCCAGGAGGAAAAAACACCCGCCCTCCTCCTCCTCCTCCTCCTCCTCACTCTCACCGCTTGAGAAGAGGGCGGGGGCATCTCGGTGCGCAGGCCCCACCCCGCCGGTGCGTGCTCAGCGTAGGCCCAGCAGCTGCCTTGAGCGGGCGGGCAGGCAGGCAGGAGCTGAGACCAGCGCGAGAGGACGCGCGAGGCAGCCAGCCGCGAGCGCGGAAGGGAGTCTCTTTCAGGAGCTTGGATACGGCCGTCCGGGCAGGGCGGCGAAGGAAGGGCGCCGGGGAGGAGCCGAAGCGCGGCGGAGGAGGAGCCGCTGCAGCCCCAGCCTGCGTGCGTCAGGTCCTGCGGGCAACTCGGCAAAGTTCAGGGAAGGCAGGAAAGCGGCGCCTTTGAGGCGAGAGACCAGGCGAGCCCAGCCCAGCCCCGAGCGAGGTCGGGGGTGGGGGGGCTTCCCCAGTCCTCGCTTTAGAGGGTGCGAGCGAAGGCATCTCCCCGGGGGAAAAGTTTCTGGCGGGGCCGGGAGCGGACGGCTGGACTGAAGAAGCGGGTCCCATGGAGGGACGGGAGCTGCAGGAACAGCCGCCCGAGCCGGAGGGACGCCAAGGCGTGCAGCCCTGAGCGGCGGCGCACGGTTCCTCGGGTCTCCATGGGCGCGGGCGGCGTGCCTTAGGGAGGCAGGCGGGCGGCCGCCTCGGTGCCGTCATGGCCAAATGGCTGAACAAATACTTTAGCCTGGGCAATAACAAGACCAAGAGCCCTCCGCAACCGCCCCGTCCGGACTATCGGGACAAGCGGAACGGCACGGCGGGAGCGGGAGGCGGAGGGCATCACAACCACAACCACAACCATCACCATCACCACCACCACCACCACACGTCGCCGTGCTTCCCGCGCCACGACACCAGCGACCTGCTCCGCGCCTACCGCGCTCAGAAGGAGCGCGACTTCGAGGACCCTTACAGCGGGCCGGGCTCGTCGCTGCGCAAACTGAGAGCGCTCTGCCGAGCCGAGTATTGCGCGCCGGAGGAGCTGCTGGTGGAGTCGGCCGGTCCCAAGCCCTTCTCGTCCTCGTCCTGCTGCGGCGGCGGCGGCGGAGGTGTAAGCAGCGGCGGGAGCAGCGCCGCCGTCGCCTCCGCCCCCACCCCCTCGACGGCCTCGGCTTCGCCTCAGCTCTTCCGCAGCCACAGCGAACGACGCGCTGCCACCCCGCCCGACTCCGCGTCGGTCAAGTACATTTCCCCCAAGCACCGGCTAATCAAAATAGAAAGCAACGAAGGTGGTAAGGGCGGCAGCGGCGTCCCCATCACCTGGAGCCCGCCGGGAATTGGCGGAGCCGGACAGAAGAAGCTCAACAAGTGTGGCGAACAAGGGGAGGGCGGCGGTGGCAGCGTCTCTTTAACCAAGAAGGAGAAAGTAAGTGACAAACACCCCCCCTCTCTCTCTCTACACCTACTCCTGTCTTTGAAAACGGGGAAGGGGCGGCCTTTTGGGGGGGGTCTGGTTTTCACGTGCCGGGGTGAATTGCTGATTTTGCAACCCTGGTTCTCAGAGGCATGTGTAGGATTTCTACCCACGCACTAGATTGCTGTGCAATTGTTGATTAACGCTCGGATGCATGAACTTTAATTAGATTTGAGAAGGCTAGGGGAAACTTCGTGGTTATTTTGCTTACATTAACTGGCTGATTCACACTTGCCTGATTTTCACGTTTAGGCTGTCACATCTCTCCGCTGGAGTGTTTATAATGCAGCCTTTTGTTGTTTGGATGAGCAAACTGCTCTTCAAGGAGCATTATTTTAAACGTGGTGTGAAAGTGCTTTCTGTGACATGAGATCAGTTCAGGCTTATTTGAGAGTCCCTCTCCCTCTCCCTCATATTTATGTGATAGCCAGTTAGGTGTAATGGTTAAGGTATCCGGTTAAACCCTAAGAAATCTGAGTTCTAGTCCTGCCTTAAGTAGGCAGGCAGCTAGCTGGGTGACCTTGGGCCAGTCATACACACTCAGCCCCCAAAAGCAGGCAATGGCAAAATACTTGTAAAATTCTTGCAAAGAAAAATGCAGGGACTTGTTCAGGCAATCATCAGGAGTCAATATGACTCAAATCTATGGACTTTAGGGTTTAACCTAAACCCTAGAGTAAGCATATTTGGTTTGGTAGGCAGTGTGCTAGGAAAGAATAGTGATAAGTTTCAGCAGAGTGGATGAAAAAGACTGATGGAGAATAGGCTGAGGATGGGAGTGAGGGTGAACTAGTTAGGGTCAGCTATTTCAATATTTGTAATTGCTTGAATCAATTGTATGCAAAACTGCATACGTGAGCCAGGAACAGTCCCTTTCTTTGTGGAGGTGTGGACTCCTGAAAAGTATTTGTGCATATGTGTACATTTGGACTTTGCCCTTATTGCATTCAAGGAGTGGAGTGCATGGTACTAAGTATGGGCTTACCCCATAGTATTCACATCCCCATTGTTGTATAAGTTATGTCAAGAGACAGTGACTTTTTCAAGGGCATCCTGTGAGCTTCATGGCTGAATCAGGAGGTGAACCTTGGTCTTCCTAAGCAAATCTGCTATGCTGGATCTACTTCTGTCTAGAAATAAATGTGTATGTATGAGTGAACTTCGTTAGCTTGTGTGTGGTTAGACAGAGGTTTGTGCTACTGCTGCAGAGCCTGAATATGAACCAATTTCTTACTGGAGACACATTGGTTAAGTCAAAATTTGTGGCCTCAAATTTTCTCCTTTAGTATGCATGTAGTTGTCTGAACTAATACATTGTGAAATGTCAGTATGGATCTATTTTAAAAGTCTTCTTTCTGATATGGATGCTCTCTTCATTTGTTCCTCGCAGGAGGGAATACTTTGAAGTATTTTGTTTTTCTTTTTGCTGGGGAAACAGTTAATAACAGTGGTTCTGAGAGACATCTTCTGAGAGGCAGATACTGTAGATGAACTCTTGAACCAAGCTTCAAACATTTTAGACTTTACAGCTCCTTCTCTTCTTTTGATGGACGCGCTCGCTGTGCTGTCTTTAGGCAAGCCAGTTACGATTGGTTATGCTTGGTTTTGGAACTTTCTATCCATTCTCATATCCTGTGAAGTCCTGGACTCCCTGTCTGAAATATTACAAGTGGGCACCATTCACATTTTTAGGTTTTAACAATAAGAACAAATTGCTTGGTGACTCAGTTGCTTTATGTCTGCCTAACTGAGAGTCCACATGACTTGTTGCAATTGTGGTAAGAGTACGCAACAGATAGTGGTTGTATTTTCAGATCTCTAAAAGAGAAAAGAAACTTTAATCCCTCAGATAAAGCGCTAGGGAAACAAGGTTTGTTTATACTGCAATAACCTGAGTCATATGGAAATAATTCTAATTGCTTGAGTCACTATAGAGATGCTATGTTAAGGGTTTTTTTTTTAAGGAGCAAGCATTCAAGCATTTGCAGAGTCAAATTGCTGTTGCATGGTTTTTAATTTTTATATAAAATACTTGTGTCAGCAATTTTTGGGAAAGGTAAAAAATATGTTTTAATCCATTTGGGTTTTAACTTTAACTCTTATATGTAGTATGTTACAATATCAAAAACATTTTAATATTAGCAATTTGTTCATGTGGAATGTTCATCTGTTCCCATGTTTTTGTCATTCGTCAGAACCAACATTTTTGAGAAATATTTGTGTTCTAAGAGGGAGCTTCGTGGCCCTGTGTGTGTGTGTGTGTATGGATAGGTAGGTAAGTAGGGAGAGGAGGAGAGGAGAGGAGAGGAGAGGAGAGGAGAGGAGAAGATAATCTTGCAGATAAACCTGCAGTTAAGGCAGATTTCATCACTGCATGACCAAAATTCAAAGAACAGTTTTTGAATCAAGACCTCTGTGTATCCATTCTTTTACAACATTTATTTCTTCAAAAAGAGACATACTGCCTTCAGGGGAACACTTTCCACATAGGCCTGAATGGAGAGGCATTGCTGCTGCATGTCTGCTGTGGATTACTGCAGAGCTGCCCTGAGGATTGTGGAAAAGGTTCTTTGAGTTGTGCTCCATTCTTTCTAGCTGCTGGTCAACCTGTTGAGCAAAAGAAGACCTTATATTGGGCTCTCTTGTGATTTTTCTTAAGTATTGTAGCAAGGACAAATGTAATTTTATTTTTAATTTAATTTTAATTTAAGGCTACAGAAAATAATCCTTGTTAAAGTTTATTAAAAGTTTTTTACATAGCTAAAAAGACAAAAGAGAAGTATATAAGGAAAAGAAAGAAAAAAGAGGAAAGAATACAATTAAAGAAAGAAGAGATAGTTAAAGAAGGCACCTGCTGGCCCAATTGGCAAAAGAAAGCACGGGACCGTATTGGTTGGAAACATGCGAAAGAGGCCTTCATCTTGCAGTGGATAGACAATAGCTAAAATGATGATGATGATGATGATGATGATGGTGATGATGATGATGATGATAAGATCATTATCTTTGTCCCTCCTTAACATTACAATAATACTTTCAGCTCCTCATTCAGTCTTTTTTCAATTGTCAAGTCCAGAAATCATCAATCACCATTTCACATTTTTTCCATTTTCAGAAAATTACAACAAAATTCCTAACCAGTTACCCATGACTTTGTCAGAAAGCCATAACTGTGTTACATATTATAGTTTACATATTAGATTTTATGGTACAGCTACAGTTTTTAAGATATTTAGTTTTTATTTACTTGGTAGATTTATCTTCAGCTGTTCTTTCAGTATCTTAAGTATATACTGTAGTACTCCCATCTCCCAATTATTTTTCACAAAAGGCTAATCTGTGAGGTAATTTGGGCTGGAATACTTTAGAGAAGAAGTAATTCAAGGTCACCCAGTGAGGTTTAATGACTGAAAATGATCCTGAACCTGGATCTCCTAACACTTTTAACTTCTACATCACACGAGCTGTCTTGACAGTCCAGTATCTTAGTGCAGATTGCTCCTTTGCTTTGTTAATCCAACCTATCCAGGGGTGGGTTTCACTTACCTTTGCTACTGGTTCGCTTGCACGTACGTCACTTCTGCGCATGCGCAGATCTAATTTGATGACGTCCAGATGGGTGGGCGGAGCTTCCTGCCGTCGCTGCTACCGATTCGCCTGAACCGGGGTGAACCAGTAGAACCAGGGCCGGATTTTCCTATAGGCTAACTAGGCTTCAGCCTAGGGCCTCAAGATCAAGAGGGGGCCTCAAGATCAAGAGGGGCCTACATTCAAATTGTTAGCAAAATTAAAATTACACTTTCACTATAGGTGAAAGGGCCTCATAAGTGGAATAGCCTAGGGCCTCTTTTCATCTAAATCCGGCCCTGAGTAGAACCCACCACTGAACCTATCTAAATATAGAGAGCATGTGTAAAAATAATCCTCCCCCCCACTTATTTAATGGAGCAAAAATTGTTTGGATCTGGATGGATGAAATATTTTTGTTGTGGTCTTGCTTGAAACTACATATCTAAATGAATGAAATCAGCAGGATGAAATATTGCCAGAACTCTAACTCTTCCCCCTGTTCATGTATTGGTATTATCTTTTTTGTTTCTTACTTGTCACTCACATTTAACCATTGTGGTTCCATAACTGCCCATTTTGAAGGATATATTAGAGTAGGTGAACATACTGTCTTTATGCTTATTTTTCTTTTGGGAAACCATTATGAACTAATTGCTGATATGCTTCCGTGGAATTCTGTGTAGCACCACTTGAAAAAAAACGGAGACTATCATCAAATACTTATCAAAAGCCCCATTCTTTGGGTGTGGGTGGGGGGGATTTGTCATGTAATCCCAATGGGGGCTAGTATAAGGAATGATAATTGTGTAGATCTCTGAATTGTGGTTCTCAAAGGCAATGGAGACAGTTATCTGTGACAGATAACTTCATGATTCCACTTTTGATCTGAAAGAAGGTGATGCTAAGATGCATTTGTGACTGTCTTACTTAGAATGAGGTGATGATGGTCCAAGCTAATCCTGGTTTTGACTTCCCTGGTTCCTAATAGGCAGTTGGAAGTTGGTCTTCTGCTCAGCCATGTGGGATTGTTTTTTAAGAGATGAATTGGAGTCATTTGGAAGAGGCAGCTGCTATTTTCCATCACATTTTTTTTTAAAGAACAAAGGCCTTCTAGGTTTTTCAGAAAGATTCAGGTAGATGTAAATATGTGGACTGTGTACATAGTTCCTTAATTATATCCAGAATATGAGATAAATAAAGTGCAGAGAAACAGATGGTGATAAGACATAGAAATACCATGGAAATAGGAGAAGGGGGAAAAAATTCACAGAGGTAAGACAGAGATCAAAGTTTAAAGGGCTATTAACCAGTTGCAACATATTTACACTTCTGAGCTTTTCAGTGCAAAAAGGCAGTATCAGAGCAAGCAAATGCTAGAGGCA